AGGATGGAAAACTTCCTAATACAGTTTATGAAGCAAGCATAAACCTCATATCAAAACCAGGAAAGGACATCACTAAGAAAGAAAATTATAGACCAATATCCCTCATGAACCAATGTAAACACTTTCAACAAAATCCTAGCCAACAGAATCCAGCAACACATCAAAAACATAATAGATCATGATCATGTGGGATTCATAACAGGGATGCAAGGATGGTTCAACATTAGAAAAACAATCAATGTTATCCACCACATAAATAAAAAAGAAAAGAACCACATGATCATACAGATTGATGCAGAAAAGGCATTTGACAAAATCCAACATCCTTTCCTGATAAAAATACTCAACAAAGTTGGAACTGAAGGGAAATTCCTCAACATAATTAAGATCATATATACAAAACCAATAGCCTACAATACTCTCAATGGAGAGAAACTGAAAGCCTTCCCTCTGCGAACAGGAACCAGTCAAGGATGTCCTTTGTTACCACTCCTATTCATATTGTGCTGGAAGTCTTAGCAAGAGCTATACAGCAAGACAGGGAAATTAAAGGCATACAAATTGGCAAAGAGGATGTAAAACTCTATGTGCTGACGATAGAATCCTATACACAGAAAACCCCAAAGACTCAGTAAAAAAGCTACTAGACCTCATTGGAAGATTCAGCAAAGTGGCAGGATACAAAAATTAGTTGGTTTCCTCTATACCAAAAATGACAGCGTTGAAAAGGACATTAGGAAAGCAATACCATTTACAATAGCCACCCAAAGGATGAATATCTAGGAATAAATGCAACCAGAGAAACAAAGGATCTCTACAAATAAAACTACAAAAACATTACTACAAGAAACCAAGAGAGACCTACAAAAAAATGGGAAAATGTACTATGCTCCTGGATAGGAAGACTTAACATTGTGAAAATGTCAATACTTCCCAAAGCAATTTACACATATAATGCAATCCCAATCCAGATTACAATGACATTCTTCAAAGAGTTGGAAAAAACCATTAAAAATTTTATATGGAAAGGAAAGTGGCCCAGAAAAAGCAAAGCATTGCTTAAGAAGAAGAATACGGTTGGAAACCTCTCATTCCCTGACTTCAAAATTTATTACACAGCTACAGTGGTCAAAACAGCTTGGTACTGGTACAATGAATGATACACTGATCAATGGAACAAAATCGAGAATCCAGAAATTAACTCATCCACAGCCAACTGATTTTCGACAAAGTACCTAAATATATTGCAAGGGGAGGTGATAGTCTCTTCAACAGATGGTGCTGGCAGACTGGAAAGCAATATGCAAAACACTTTTACTTCATGCCTATATAAAAGCCAACTCAGCATGGATTAAAAACCTAAATGTGAATCCCATCAATGAAAAAATAGGGACAAATGTGAGAGCACCAATTCAGGGAATACATAGACTACCAAACATTTTGAAAACTGCACAAACAAAAGTAGACAAATAGATGAGTGGGATATACTAAAATTAAACATTTATGTGCATCAAAAGACTTCACCAGAAGAGTAAAACAAGGAACTCACAAAATGGGAAGAAATCTTTTGCAATGACACATCAGACAAGGGACTCATTTCTAAAATATATGGGAAACTACAACATCTCTACAAGAAAAAAACAAATAACCCGATTAAAAAAGGGCACAAGATATGAACAGACACTTCACCAAGGAGGAGATCCAGGCAGCCAACGAACACATGAAGAAATGTTCACGATCACTAGCCACTGTTGTTATTTTTATGTGCCATGGAGTTAGTTCAGCCTCACAGTGACCCTGTAGAGGCTGTAAATCTTTATGGGAGCAGAAAGCCTCATCTTTCTCCTTTGGAACAGCTAGCAGTTTCAAACTGCTGACCATGAGATTAGCAGCCCGATTCATAATCACTACGCTACCAGAGAGCACTAGCTATTAAAGAGATGCAAATCAAAACAACAATGAAATATCATCTCACACCAGTAATAACAGCAAACATCAAAAAAGTAG